AACAATGGACCTAACCCGTTTAGTCTCTCCCTGCTCTTACCCACTTTGGGGCGCTCCGTTCCCCCCCCGTGGGTTCTATATACCCAACGAGCGCGCGTTCTTGAAACGGAGCGGGCCTGGCTGAAGGCACTAGAGATCCAGGGTCGCTTACTGAGCGATACTAACACGCAGCCGCTAGCTTCAATCTAGAACAAAATACCCCAAAAATCCCGCACACAGTCTATGCTGTGGCAATGAATGAAATACCCCAAAAATACGTAAATAAATCAAAACCCCGTGTACACTTAAGTGCTGCCCTGGGCTCGTTACGCAGATGAAAAGACAAAACTCACCAAATCAGGTTCTTTTTGGTCTTGTGTGGCCAAAGATTCTGTTCACGCGCCGGACGAGCGCGCCCTCCCTTTGTCTCAAAATAGAGCAGAGGCTGGTGTTGTTCCAGGTCGGCCAAACGCAGCCGCTCGTCCCCGCCGAAAAGATCCAGGCCAAGACATGCCAGCAACGCCAAATTGTTGTAGAATTACATACCCCAATGAAGGAGAAAGCTCAAAGGTATTTGTCTTAATCAGGAGCGTAAGTTTATTGTACACACGTGCGGAGAGCTCACATACACAAAGCAGCGTCCATAAGCTCTAACGCGCCCAGACCAGGTTCCTGTTTACATAGACCAGGGGTGCTCACACTTTTTCAGTATGCGAGCTACTTATAAAAGGATCAAGTCAAAATGATCTACCTACTACAAAAATGCAAATCACATATTTATTTCAAAAAATATTCTTTATACCTACAATGTATGTTTATGTACATGCAAAACCGCATGAGCCAATATAGCACAACACAACACAATTACCTATGTACATTTTTTGTCATTACCCGAGTTTACTCTGATGACTTGCACTGAATTGAATCGGCCAGGGATGCATAGTCCGGAAAATTGGTGGTAACTCGCTGACAAGTTTGTCGTGGTTTAGCTTTCCTGCACTGAGCGCGGTTGTTTGCGCATGTGCAGTCACCTAAGTGTCAGTAAAACATTACTGAGTAAAACACACATGTGCAGTCACCTAAGTGTCAGTAAAACATTACTGAGTAAAACACACATGTGCAGTCACCTAAGTGTCAGTAAAACATTACTGAGTAAAACACACATGTGCAGTCACCTAAGTGTCAGTAAAACATTACTGAGTAAAACACAGATGTCATTTGACTGTGGTGCCATGTCCATGTGCCATGCCTGTTTTTTTAAAATCCAAATATTTCCCCTCCTCAGTTTATAAAATAATTTGCATCCACACATCTGCGTTATCAATCACATTCGTAACATTCCAAACATGTGCGTCTCTTACGTCCTGTCCTGCGTTGGGGAAAAACACAGAAGTGGGCGGAGCTTTGATGCAGACGCCGGTAACGGCACTTTTACAGTCATAACACTCAGAGTAAAGATGTATGTTTACAAGCACTGACCCCGTCCTCAGCCCTGGTTTAGTCCTGGTTTAGTCCTGGTTTAGTCCTGGTTTAGTTGTTTTCGAGCGTGAGTCCCCGCGATCACTTTGCTGCTCTCTGATGTGGAGGATGTTCGCTGCTGCGAGCATCTCACAGCGAACAGTTTTTAAGGTAGTATGATCCATGCTTCAGTGATCAGAGGAATTTAGGGGGGTACTGTGGCGTGCGAGAACGCAAAACTCCGGTTATCTCTGTCTACACACAAATGCATTAACGGAGTTTTCAAAAATCTCCACTTTGCCCGGAGTTTTTTGTATATATTCGTTTAGAATGTGTAATTTTTTATTTATTTAATGCGATCTACCAATACTACCTTTGCGATCGACTGGTAGATCGCGATCGACGTATTGAGCACCCCTGACATAGACACACATGAAAGACAGTCCCGCCCACAAAAGATGGGAGGGGGTCACCAGTACAGGAGGCGCATCCAGAGGCGAGGCGCCATGCCCGTGGGGAGGCAATCAGATGCAAACAGAGAGACAATGGATATGCAGGATGTAGAGATGCAGACATACAGATGCAAGATGCAAAGGGACAAGGGTGAGACAGTCATTGTCTGTAGGTGCGGGGGGAAGCCCGGCTCCTTCCTGCAGGTTAATTGAATAGAGCAGCAGGGGGGGTAAGTTGGCGTCCCCGAGTCTATGCAGCTTGCCATCACAACGCATAGACAGAACATCGGTATGATGTTGAATTGAACCCGCAACCATCTGTCTGTGAGGCATGAGCGGTGCCCACTCAGTCTTTTCGTAAACTTCTCATCATATACTGAGGGGATCCATCATGCTTTGGAGTTGTGTGGCGGAAAATTCTAAATCTACACCCTCAGTCGTGGATCTACACCCTCAGTCCTGGACTTCAGCCTCAGTCCTGGATCTACACCCTCAGTCCTGGATCTACACCCTCAGTCCTGGACTTCAGCCTCAGTCCTGGATCTACAGCCTCAGTCCTGGATCTACACACTCAGGCCTGGACCTTCAGCCTCAGTCCTGGATCTTCAGCCTCAGTCCTGGATCTACACCCTCAGTCCTGGACCTTCAGCCTCAGTCCTGGACCTTCAGCCTCAGTCCTGGATCTTCAGCCTCAGTCCTGGATCTACACCCCCAGGCCTGGATCTACAGACTCAGTATCAGTCTTGAATCAACCCGTTTTTGTTGAATGAATTATTTGGCTTCTACTGTTGCACACAGAGGTCAAATCAATGACAACAAGTCCATGCAAAACGTGGTTAGCAGTTATTATTCCTACTCTTGTTTCTCTAGCCATTCTTTTCATTCTATTTGTGGTCCAACTTTCAACATCGAACCCCCCAGTACCTGCTAAATATTTCTGCTCTATCAACAAATACTTTTGAGCACATTGGAGACACTTCTGGCGTGAGCTTGTTTTAACTCTGTAATGGGTGGTTTGTATGTGAGCAGTCTCTCAGGAATGTGCAAGATTATGGCAAATCAGGAGCTAAAGCGTGTGAGAATTAGAGGAATGACTTTAATAATGTAGTACAGCTCTGGTTGTGAAGCAAAGGAAAGTCATCTCTATCCAAAACAGGATTGTTGAGTTGACCAAACTACTACTTCTTCTGCAACTGCTACCAATATGAGCCAAGTACCCATCTCTGACTGACAACCACCCACACACACACATCCCCCCCCCACACACACACACAGGACTCATTCTAAGTATGAGGACACAACCACAGTATTTTACAGCCGCAGTCTCCCATCACAGCACTAACCAGGCCCAGCCACACTTAGCTTTAGAGGCCTGTCAGGATCTGGCTTTCGCATTATTATTGAATATAAGAAATTAAAATTAAAGGCTGCTGCTACTGCTGCTGCTGCTGCTGCTACTACTACTACTACTACTACTACTACTTCTACTACTACTGCTAATATCCTTCCTAACCCTGAACCCTGCCTTTAACCCCAAATCCTAACATGTCATTCCTGTTTTTAGCTATTGTCGCTTCATAAACAAATGCACAGAACTCATATTGTGTTTGGCCGATGGTTCGGAGGGTTGATGGTTGAAATCCAAAACCAACATTGCCGCGCGCTGGAAAAGTGCTGGCGCAGCGAGAGGAAGCCGTTTCAAATGTCGCACACCTTAATTGTGTTTTGCTGTTATTTTAGGAGAGAGACCCCCCAAAAGTCTCCCCTCTGTGGCCCCCATAGTCCTTCCACACCTGGACAAGCACAGTCTATGGCCTCAGGAAGAATGGAGGCTGTATACTTAATGTATACTACATTATTGTGGAGATGTAGGTTTAATACTAGAACTAGGACCATATTTCTGAATTACTATACTACTAATAGTAGCAGCAGTAGCAGTTGCAGTAGTAGTAGCAGTAGAAGTACTCCTCAGGATTGCATAGAGACAGTAATGACAGCCTTTGTGTGAGATGTTCAAAGACACCGGAGCTGAGGGGGAAATAGCATCGCTCACAGGTGACAATCTTGGACTCCTGAAATCTCAATCAATACTTTTTGCTTCAAACTGAATCGAGGCAATGCATGATATTTATACTACTACTGCGACTGTCCTGGTCTCGATCTTGGCTGTTCCCTTGTTGTATAAACACTGAGTTTTCTGGTTTGCGTTTGTTGGCTGCAGCAGAGGGGGGATGTGCAGAGGGCGGAACAGCCTGATGGGCCTCATCTCCACTGAACCCACAGACAGACGACTGACTATGTGTCTGTTCTTGAGATAATGGTGCTTTTTTCTTCTAATATCCACCAGTTTGTGTTTGGATCTAGTTTTAATAAGACAGAAACAGGTATACAATGCAAGAATTCAACTGATCACCGATATAAAGCCCCTACTGTACCTAGCACTGCTCTGCTTAGCTTAGATTTACTTTACTCTACTGCGATTGGGACCGGCCCTGTTTGACCAGTACCAAGAGTAGAGTAGAGTAGAGTAGAGCAAAGCAGAGCACTAACATGGAAATCATAATATCTGGATGGCAAAACAGAGATTGAATTAAAGTAAGAAAAAGTAAAAATGTAAAATAAATTGTGGCGTAAAAAGGTCCTCGCCGCACCGCCCAAAGGAGGTGGCGCTGACGCTCCCACAGCCCTGATGGGTATATCGAATGCCTATAATCAGTGATTGTGTGTCTCTATTGAATAACATGGGAACTTTCATGAGTCTCTGTAGAAATAACCCAAATATGCGAGTCTACCACTCGCAGACCGTTTGACTGATCAAAATTCTCCTGCCGACTTTGGGTCCAACACTTGTTGAGAAGAGGTGGCGTGAATTTAAACCAAATCAATGAAATGGTCGAGGCTGGTTAGTTGATTGTGCTACTACAGATGCGACGGCGGGAGCCAGCTGCAAGTTGTATCGCTCTCTTTATCTTAATCAGATCTACCTGTAAATTTGAGAGATTTCCTGATTTTCACATTGACACATTTTGGTGATTGACAAGCGCTGACATTATGAGGTCACCCACCCCTGTCTCGGACCCCATTCATTTCACGGGATAATAAAGCAGGAGTATGGCCCGCCGTCCGGCCCGCTCTCTGGCCCGCTCTCCGGCCCGCTCTCCGGCCCGCTCTCCGGCCCGCTCTCCGGCCCGCTCTCCGGCCCGCTCTCCGGCCCGCTCTCCGGCCCGCTCTCCGGCCCGCTCTCCGGCCCGCTCTCCGGCCCGCTCTCCGGCCCGCTCTCCGGCCTGCATGTTGGACACGTTGTCTCAAACCCTTATTCACCCCCAGTGCACTCAGACACTGGGCAGAGTGGGTTCAGCGCCTTGCCCAAAGACACAACAGCTGGAATCACACCTGAAAACCTGTGAACAGACATGACTGAGAAGGATCTGTTTATAAACTCAGACCAGACGTGATCAAAGCCAACACTATCAGAAACATGAGAAGTGATGTCACTCACCTCAGACAGACACAAAAACAAGTTTACTGTCTGCAAACGACAGAACAAATGTTTTTTTTGAATGATAATGAGGTAACGATGGCCTCTGTTCACTTATTTAAACCAGTTTAACATTAGTTTGGTTGCGATGGCCCTACGACCAATATATGGTCAATATATTCCTAGAAAGAATTAATTTATTACATTATCTGAGATTTCTACAAATGGACAATATTGAATTTATGGTTTGAAGGAAATACCCCTAAGTGTTTGGGTCGATTTAGGTCAGGGGTGCTCCCACTTTTTCAGCATGCGAGCTACTTATTAAATGATCAAGTCAAAACGATCTACCTACTATAAAAATGCAAAACATATATATATTTCTAAATATATTGAGGATTCTTTATATCTACAATGTATGTTGATGTACATGCAAAACCGCATGATTTATGAAATAATTTGCATTTAAGCACCGCCTCTGGCTGTCATCCAGGATTCATAGAACCAAAGTTACATTCGTAACTTTCGTTCTGTAGCGGCACTGTCATAGTAGAAACTCAGGGTGAAGACATGTTATTATAGATCCATGGTGAAGACATATGTTTACAAGCATTGACCCCAGTCCTCAGCCCTGGTTTGATCCTGGTTTAGCTCCTGTTTTGGTTGTTTTCGAGCGTGTGTGATCACTTTGCTGCTCTCTGATGTGGAGCGAGGATCGCTGCTGTGAACCGCTGTTAAGGCAGTATGATCCATGCTTTAGTGATCAGAGGTCGCACGTTTTGTTTGTTGTTGTTGTTGTTTTGGGGGCAAACTGTGCCGTGCAAAAACGCAAAACTCCGGTTATCTCTGTCCACACGAAAATGCATAAACGGATTAAAAATATATATATATGTAATGCGATCTTCCAATACTACCTTTGCGATCGACTGGTAGATCGCGATCGACGTATTGAGCACCCCTGATTTAGGTACTACTGCTGCAACTGCTGCTACTACTACTGCTATTACTACTATTTCTTCTGCTCCTGCTATTACTATTGCTATGTCTACTGCCACTGCTACTTCTGCTCCTGCTACTACCACTGCATACCCGGTAGTTGTTAACTACTGTACAGTGCCTTGCGAAAGTATTCGGCCCCCTTGAACCTTTCAACATTTCGCCATATATCAGTCTTCAAACATAAAGATATAAAATTTTAATTTTTTGTCATGAATCAACAACAAGTGGGACACAATCGTGAAGTGGAATGAAATTTGTTGGATAATTTAAACTTTTTTAACAAATAAAAAACTGAAAAGTGGGGCGTGCAATATTATTCGGCCCCTTTACTTTCAGTGCAGCAAACTCACTCCAGAAGTTCAGTGAGGATCTTTGAATGATCCAATGTTGTCCTAAATGACTGATGATGATAAATAGAATGTACCTGTGTGTAATCAAGTCTCCGTATAAATGCACCTGCTCTTTGATAGTCTCAGGGTTCTGTTTAAAGCGCAGAGAGAACCATGAAAACAAAGGAACACACCAGGCAGGTCCGAGATACTGTTGTGGAGAAGTTTAAAGCCGGATTTGGATACAAAAAGATTTCCCAAGCTTTAAACATCTCAAGGAGCACTGTGCAAGCAATTATATTGAAATGGAAGGAGTATCAGACCACTGCAAATCTACCAAGACCCGGCCATCCCTCCAAACTTTCATCTCAAACGAGGAGAAGACTGATCAGAGATGCAGCCAAGAGGCCCATGATCACTCTGGATGAACTGCAGATAACTACTGCTGAGGTGGGGATGGTGTGTACAGGGTGATGAGCTGTGTTGCTTTTACGCCAAACATATCGTTTTGCATTGTGGCCAAAAAGTTGGATTTTGGTTTCATCTGACCAGAGCAGCTTCTTCCACATGTTTGGTGTGTCTCCCAGGTGGCTTGTGGCAAACTTTAAACAAGACTTTTTATGGATATCTTTGAGAAATGGCCACTCTTCCATAAAGGCCAAATTTGTGCAATGCACGACTGATTGTTGTCCTATGGACAGACTTTCCCACCTCAGCTGTAGTTATCTGCAGTTCATCCAGAGTGATCATGGGCCTCTTGGCTGCATAAATGATTATGGATATAGGTTCAGTATATAAATGATTATGGATATAGGTTCAGTATATAAATGATTATGGATATAGGTTCAGTATGTAAATGGGTAACTCAGCGCAGTTCAGAATTCTTTGTTCAGTTTTCATGTAGTTCCAGAGCCTAATGGAGGCTTGATTCTGAGGCTCCGCGAAAACAAACAACTGCTCATGCACGGAGCTGCGAGCATCAGCGCTGATGAAGGACAGCCCTTGGCATGACTCGATTGGTTAACCTAGATCGGCACCGTGGATTCTGAACAAGCCCCGGCGATCCAAGATGGCGCCCTATTCAAATGAATGGTTGTGCTCAGTGGCGCTTTGTGACGGCATGGGGGCTGAAAGATTAGCGGAAGTTGCCTGAAACTCGCAAAGATCTATGGGAAACTCGCCTGTATTTGGGCATCGTCTGGTCCTCCCGGTTCTGCGCAGTGGATGATCTCCCATAATGCGTTGCGCCAAATACACGTGTGTGTGGGTCTCACACCGGGTCTCACGCACGTGCACAGAGGGGCTCGGCCGCGCTCTGACCAATCAGAGCAGTTCATCAGAGCGGGAGTTAGAGCGAGAGCCAGACGAGCAGAGTTTGTGGCACTAAAGTGTGGATTTAAACAAAACCGAAGGATTTAAGAAGAAAAAAAGTTCAGGATGACAAGGGACACTAAAATCCCCACAAAATCCGATCTTTATTAAAGCTGTAGGTTCTCTGTCAGCTGAGGTTGAGCTGTTTTAATATGCATTGAGTTCTATGGTAAAAATTTCTGGGTAGCCCACGTGAATTTAGTCTGGTTCAGTCTGCAGTACCGCGAGAATCCCCTGAGCACGTGAGTTATTCAGCTACAAGCTAGTAATACCCTATCCAGTTAATATAATACATCCATGATTCTGAACTATAGCTAAGAGAAGGGAAGGCGGGACTTACCCGTGATATTAGAATTAATAAAATGACTTATTTTATATCAACATTTAAGGCCAGGAGGTCAATTTAACACATTTCCTAAAATTTTCAATTCATTTAGAGTTACAGACTATCACTTTAATAAGTGAGTTATTGGTCAAATTGAATATTATTTGTCCAAGATTAATTCTAAATAAATTATTTGTTATTGTAATGGGCACTGTTCAAGATGTTATTCTCTGTGTTTTTGCATTTTGGTTTAAAAATCATAATATTTGCAGTGTTCTGTTGCCTGGTCACGTTTTCACAGATTCGTCAGTTTACAAATCCATAAAGATCACACCGAGTTCAGAGAACATTCTAGTACAAGCCCTGGTTCACCTGGTCTCAACCCAGACAAAACACAGCTGAAGGAAAGCAGAGCTGATTTAACTGGTCTCTCTTTCTGTTCTCTTTCTTGGCCTCTCTCTTTTCTTTCTTTTATTAAATTATTTGTGTTTGATTGCATTGTTTCAAAGTCTGACCACTGATGGCTGATGGCAATGACAATTAAAAACAAAAAAGATTCCCCAACTACAGCCAAAAAATAAAATTAAAAATGTTCTTTGCAACCAACAAAAGTCATGCAGGCATCAATCAGTAAAAAAGAGACGACAAAGTAGAAGGACAAACAAAAGTATCCAACAGAGCAGATATAGACAGACAAGACACAAACAGCCAGGACTCTCTCTTTTCTCTCTGTTCTCTTTGGTCTCATTGGTCTCTCTCTTTGGTCTCACTTTTCTCTCTATCTGGTCTTCCACTGGTCTCTCTGGACTCTCTGCCTGACCTTTCTCTCTCTCTGTGGTCGCTCTGTCTTTTCTCCCTCTCTGTTCTCTCTGGTTTCTCTATAGTCTCTCTCTTTTGCCTCTCTCTGGTCTCTCTCTTTGGTCTCGATGGTCTCTCTTTCTCTGTTCTCTCTCCTTGGTCTCAGTTGTCTCTCTCTGGCCTTTTCCTCTGTCATCTCTCTCTGGTCTCTCTCTCTCTGGCCTTTTCCTCTGTAATCTCTCTCTCTGGTCTCTCTCTCTTGTGTCTCCTTCTCTCAAGTCTGCCTGTCTCTGGCCTCGCGCTGGTCTCTCTTTCTTGCCCCTCTCTCTCTCTCTCTCTGGTCTCTCTGTTTTACCTATACCCCGATTTCATGCAAATGGCCCTCTATCTTGTTGAGTCTTGTATTGGCGTCCCACTCCCTATAGGCTACTGTTACTAATCAACTGCTAGCATGGGGTGCTGACTTCCATTATCCAATCACATTTGGTTTATGCTAATAGAACACGGACAGTCTTCAGCCACACTTTCTTTACGGTCTCCACATTCCTCCTTAAGGCTAAGACAGGCTACAGTTGTATATCTCTCTTTAGCATGACCTCGGTTTAGCCTCAGCGCTAGCCGAGACAAAGCAGAGCAGCGCGGCTGAAGATGGCGTATAATAAATCTAGTTAATGCATTGTTTTTGACGTGGTTTCAGGGCGCGTAAATTTAAGGGACAGTTTGAGAGGTATGACGACAGAAGCTTGTTTATGTGTTGGACTTTTATTCCCAAAGGCTTGTGTTGGCGTCAAAACATACCAGAAGTTGTTTTGGATTATTTCAAGTTACAGGAAATGTATGGGTTAGAAATACGTAAAGAAATACGTTTTTGTGGCATTGCAGCTTAAGGGTTAGGTTGTTTTCACTCTGTGTTCAGTTAAAACTGTGAGAGACCAGAGAGAGAGCAGTGAGAGAGACCAGAGAGAGAGAGCAGTGAGAGAGACCAGAGAGAGAGAGCAGTGAGAGAGACCAGAGAGAGAGAGCAGTGAGAGAGACCAGATAGACAAACTAGTGAGAGATACCAGTGACAGAGTTCAGGGAGAGAGAACAGAGACAGCTCTTCTATCTGCTTTCATTC